CCTCAAGACGGGCCAAGAAGCCCCCAAGAGGCCTCCAAGACGGCCCACGAAGGCTCCGAGACGCCAAACGACCGGTCCAAGACGCCCACGATGGCCCCAAGACGGGCCAAGAGGTCTCCAAGACGGCCTCCGAGGTCCCAAACAAGCCTCCCAAGAGGACCCCAAGAGTCTAAAATTGTTGATTTTCCATAGTGTTTTTCTATGTTTTTTGCTTTTCCGCCTTTTCGGCTTCCCGACGCTCCAAGACGGCCAAAGAGGCCCCCAAGAAAGCCCCAAGATGGCCCAAGAGGCCCCCAAGACGGCCTCCAGACGGCCCAAGACGGCCCCAACACGGCCCAAGAGGTCCCCAAGACGGCCCAAGAGGGCTCCAAGACGGCACCAACAGGGGCCCAAGAGGGCGACCAAACATGTTGAAACTCTAGCTTTCTGCCCCCAGGAGCCCCAGGGGGCCCCAAGAGTGCCCCAAGAGGCCCCCAGAGGCCCTCACGAGGCCGCCCAGACGCCCCAAGGAACCCCCAAGAAGCACCCCAGAGGCTCCGAAACGGCCCCCAAGTGGCTCCAAAACTCGCTTTTCACCCCTTCGCAGCATCTACTACCCCCAGATTGGCATAAACAAGGGGTCGGCGGTGTGGCGTAAGCCTAAGAATCAAAGCAGCATGCCCAAGACTAGATCAAGCGACGTCAGGGACACGTGACCATACGCATCGCGGCCAATTTTACACGCCGCGACCAAAGAATGCACGCGTAGGATTACACTCTGGTAAGCCATACCAGATGATTTATCCTCGCCCTGCAAAACGATGGAAATACCAAGTAACAAACGGTTTCGTGTGCAGCACTACCTTGCGCCGCGTACAAGAACCTTCAAGAGCAGTCGTGCGTCAGAATGAACGGCGCGTGCGATCATCATCCATAAGAGTGGGAGGCGGCAGCAGAGTGGCTTTGAGTTGCTACGCGCACAGCAGCCCGCGCAGAACGCGCTCCAGCGCATGCTGCGACCCTCACCACCTGACCCCCCAAGATGGTCTGGTCATTTTCGGAGAGGAGGGGGAGGGGAAGAACAGGAAAGAGACGTGGACAGTCGAAAATCGGCGTGGCTCCTGCTAGCGGAACGTCGCCAGGGCACAGCAAGCAAAGCACACACCAGGACGTTCCATGAAGTGGAATTCCACTGCAGATCCCCGCGCCCATTACATCGGAACCTCAGCAAGAATACGGCTATGCAATGCTATGCAATGCGCCCTTGGGTTCCAGGCAGGCGGGCACAATATCCAGCATGCAGTGTCCATATACCGCACCACTCCAAGTTAAAACTGCCTGCACGCGCAGGGCAACGCGTGATAGGAAAAGGGCCCTGGTGAATTATACTGACTGCGTAACGTCAGGCATGCACTACAGGGGTACCAGGGGTGATACCAGGATGCAACATTACGATTTGAAAATGGCACCCCTTCCCCAGCGCACAGAGCGTCCCAGGGGCGGCGCGGAAGGCGCCGCCAGGGGGGGCAGCGCTGACAAGTAATGTGGGACGCCGATTCAGAAAGACCCAGGGGGGAGAGCCCATCACGCAGCAGCTCTATGGGCGATGGTACACGGTCTCGATCATGTGCATGACCCTGGTCATTGAGACTCTGTGATCGTCCTCTCCAGGCGGCAGAACACACCATGTTGTTGCATCGCTCACCTGGGCTCTTCTTACTCGTCATCCCACGTTACGTAGCCGGCCTCCCACGAGAGAATCATCGGGCGCTGCTTCGTAAGGAGGGGCAATAAAACTGGGGAGGAGTGAGAAAGCTGCACTTCTCGTGCCCCTGCGGGGCAATAGTGGGGCCTTTCCGGGCCCCTTTCCCCTGCAGCCCTCGACCCCCCCAACTTTATCGCCTCACATAGTGTTAGATCGGGCGTGTCCTCCCACAGGGGGATTCTGGACCAAAAAAAAATCCCCCAAACATGCAAAATATTCAAAAGGTCCAAAAATCGTCCCCAGACTATCTTTTTTACTATTTGGGAATATTCCTCCTTTAGAGGGACGTGCCCGATTTAAACATAGTGAGCGTGCGCAAATGCCTCAGTATACGGACACCCTACGCAGTCCTGAGTGCCCGAATGAGCGCGCTGAAACGCAGGCCATCGGAAGCTGACAGGCGAACCGCAAAGGTGCAGATGTGTGGCTGGCCCTCTGACAATACGAACATTGGCATGAAGCAACGGGGTCATGAAGACAACGGGTCCTGGACCCTGGGGCGCCCCCAGTCGTGACCACACAGTCCCGCGGGGCCAGTGGACGGTCCCAGGAAGCCAAACACGGCGAAAAACCTCCAGGCCCGGATATCCACCGATCTAATTGCGTCAATCCGCGGCCCCAGGAGGTCCCGATCGCCTCCTCGGGGTAGCTTTCGCACCAGATCATATTTTATGGTCCTGGGGCCAAAATCAAGGAAAACGCACGGATTGAGAACCCCCTGGTTTGGTCAAGGATCCCGCCAGCGCCGTTTGGGAATCAGTTTCCAAACGACGGCGCTCCCAAATGGCGGCGCTGGCGGGAATCGTGACGAAGGCGGCCCCCTTCCCCCCCATCCCTGGTCGGGGGCGCGCAAGCATGGATCAGCGATCCATGGATTTGGCGCGCGGTCGCCAAATCCATGGATCGGGGGAGGAGCCCTCCCCACAATGCGGCTGGTGCCGCCTCGCTCGGCGGCGGAAATCCGCGACTTCCCATGGAAACGGGACCCGTCGCTAATGTGAGCGTTTTCTTGTTCGGCGTTTCGACTTTGGGCGGAACGGGGGTGAATGGGTGGGGTCTGGCTTCAGACCTCTGCTCAGTGCGGCTGTTTGCCACAGTGCGTCCCATGAGGGGAGACTCCACCTGCTCGAAACAGGCGCCAAAAACTGCCAAGATCTACTACATGGGGGGGGGGTCCGAGGGCCCGCGCCGATCGGCACAACGTTGATTGAAAACACGGTCACTAATCCACGCCCCCTTGATCCATGCTTGCGATCGCCTGACCCGGGGACGCCCGTATCGCCAGGGGATTCTAACAGACTTCAGAGGCCTGGAAATTGGCACCAACACCAACACAGGGGGGTGCCTCCACAGGGGGAAGATGATCCTAGATTCCGGTGTTGGTGGTGATATCTCCGTTACCTTGGACGCCAGCAAATATGACCACCGTCACCGAGATCGGGATCTTCTTCCCTCGGTGGAGGCACACCGCCGACCTCGGTGTGGGTGCCAACCTCTGGGCCTGCGAAGACTGCCTCGAGGCGCCCCGCGGAGCGGCCCACGGGAGCGGAGCGCAGGTTGGCCCCCCGCCCGCTGCCCGCGGGAGGCCGAGGGCTGCGCGCGCGCGCCACGGGGCGGCGGGCGGTGCGGGCGAGGCCGCGGGGCTGCGTGCGCGCCCCCTGGGGCCAGAGCGGCTGCGGCGAGAGGTGCGAGGTGAGGCAGGGATGTATCCATGTCCACCGCCTGGGAACCGACGTCCTGGTGCCCGAGCGGGCGGTGGATGTGGATATGTTTCGGCCCCCGGGGTCCCGCATATGTCCATCTCCACCGCCTGCCGAGGCTCCGAAAACTGACCCTCCAGGCGGTGGTCATGGATAAATTCCCGCCTCGGAGGAGGGGTACCGTCAGGTCGAGCATGTCCCCCTGCAGAATGATTTCAGACGAACAACAAAAATACCTCCAAACACTGTTCAAACATATTCAAAAAATTGTCAGAAAATGGCCCCCTGATATTTTTAAAATTTTGAATGTCCCTCTTGCAGAGGGGCGTGCCCGACTTTAAGGGTACCCAGATCCCCTGGAGTCGTGAAGAATCGCGACGCGAGGTGTTCGCGAGACCTCCGTGGGTCCACGCTGAAAAACCGGACGTTGGGGGTCCCGAGCTAAGGGGCGTTTTACTGTAGACTCGGGCTGAATTACTTGCATTGCACTTCCCCCACCCCCACCACTTTTTCAAGCGGCACTAACTCGAGAAGGCGGCCAAATGAGTCCCGACTTGCGTGAAGTCCAGATTTCCTTTCGGGCCTCGCCACGCCCACTCACTCCATCCGGGTAATCTTGCCAGTGTATATGTAGAAACTGCCTGTAAAGGGGCGGAACAATGAGGGGACCAGGGTGACTCCTTAATTATGCTAACGGAGTTCCCCACATAAAGGTATTAACGGTTTCGTGGGACCCATGGGGCACGACAACATCAACACGAAGGAGAAGCTCATCGAACGAGTAAGTACGCGGAAATGGCAGACGAAAGAAGGGAGGAGGGAGGACAGGTGCTCAGGAAACGAAGCCTTGTAAATAGTACGGTTTCTTGATACCCTCTTCGCTCTGGCGGGGCCCCAGTGGAAGGGGGAGGGCTACGAAACCTAGTGAAAAGTAATGCTTTCCGCGACCCTCCTCATTCAAGCGCGGCCTCTCTGGAGGAGTGGAGGGGGGGCACGAAACCGTGTAAACTATTGTTTTCTGATGCCCTGCTGGAGGAGGAGGAGGAGGAGGAGGAGGAGGAGGACGAGGAGGATGAGGAGAAGGAGAAGGAGGAGGAGGAGGAGGAGGAGGAGGGGCCTCCCTGGAGGGGTGGGAGGGGCACGAAACCCAGTTAACAATATAGTTTTCCGATACCCTCCTCGCTCAGGCGGGGCCTCCCTGGAGGGGTGGGAGGGGCACGAAACCCAGTAAACAATATAGTTTTCCGATACCCTCCTCGCTCAGGCGGGGCCTCCCTGGAGGGGTGGGAGGGGCACGAAACCATGTAAATAGTATTGGTGTCCGATACCCTCCTCGCTCAGGCGGGGCCTCCCTGGAGGGTGGGAGGGGCACGAAACCATGTAAATAGTATGGGTATCCGATACCCTCCTCGCTCAGGCGGGGCCTCCCTGGAGGGGTGGGAGGGGCACGAAACCATGTAAATAGTATGGTATTCCGATACCCTCCTCGCTCAGGCGGGGCCTCCCTGGAAGGGTGGGAGGGGCACGAAACCATGTAAATAGTATGGTATTCCGATACCCTCCTCGCTCAGGCGGGGCCTCCCTGGAGGGGTGGGAGGGCACGAAACCATGTAAATAGTATGGTGTCCGATACCCTCCTCGCTCAGGCGGGGCCTCCCTGGAAGGGTGGGAGGGGCACGAAACCATATAAATAATATAGTGTTCCGATACCCTCCTCGCTCAGGCGGGGCCTCCCTGGAGGGGTGGGAGGGGCACGAAACCATGTAAATAGTATCGTTTTCCGATACCCTCCTCGCTCAGGCGGGGCCTCCCTGGAGGGAGGGGAGGGGCACGAAACCATGTAAATAAGATGGTTTTCCGATACCCTCCTCGCTCAGGCGGGGCCTCCCTGGAGGGGTGGGAGGGGCTGGGAGTCGGGAGGCGGGAGGGAGAAGGAGAGGATGTTCTGGGAAAACAAGAAAACCACTCAGGATGTGGGGAAAAAACAACCTCTGTGAGGTCTTCGCAAGAACCATGTAAGTGATGATAAGCCCGACGGAGTCACTAAGCTGGAACCCGCCCATTATTAGGCCTCGGATCGAACTGGAGTAGCCAAATTGCGTGGGATTGCGGGGGGATGACACGACGACGACGACGACGACGACGACGACGACGACGACGACGACGGCGGCCAATACGAGGAACAACGACAACGACGAACAAACAGACAGGCGGTGAGCAGGCCCCCTCCCCCGTACTTCCTCTTCCTCCTCGTCAAAGCCCCTCCCTCCTCCTCTTCCTCCCCTTCCTCCTCCTCCTCCCACTCATCGTCGCCCTCATCCTGCTCATCCTCCTCTGCAATGTTCTCCTTGACCCCGTCCCCCTCCACCTCATCCAACTCTCCTGACTTCAACGGCTAGCGCCCGCCGTGCTTCCTGGTTTCGACGGCCCCCGGAATTCTAGGCTCGTGGGCTCCCTGTTTCCTGGGTTTGTTTTTTTCCGCTCAATTCCTGTCTTGCTCGATTCCTTGGATCGGGTCTGTTCATGCTGCGGGTTCCTGTCGGTTGCTGGAGGATCCCTGAAGATTCCTGCAAGATTCCTGTGGTTACATGGGGGTCCTGAGAGATCCGTCGGATTTCTTAGGATTCAACAAGATGCCCCAAGAGTCCTACAGGTTCCTGACGCTTCCTCTGGGGCTCCCGAAGGACTCCTGAGGATTCCTGCAGCTTTGCTGCCGACTTCTAGAGGACTCCTGAAGGTTCCTCAAGACTTCCTGAAGACTTCCTATGGGCCCCTTCAGGTTCCTGAGGATTTCTGAATCTCCTGGAGGGGTCCAAAGATGATTCCTGAAGCATTCCTGAAGAGTCCTGCAGGATCCTTGCAAGGTGCCCGACGATTCCCAGGAATTCCCTGCTCCCCCTTCCCCCCCCTCTCCTCGGGAATTGGTTGATTGTTTTGCGTGCTAGCGATGTCGCTCTGAAGTTCGCCTCCCTCTGGTCATACTGATTAGGCCAAGGTTGGATCGGCGATGGGCTCTCGATGGCAAAACCGCGCGTCGCTGGGAGGGGTATAGGCTATCGGGCCACTCTCGGCGATTGAATTGGCGTTTGGGGGGCGACGCGTTCCCTCCATGAGCCCGCCGCCCCCGATCGCCGCCCCCGATCAGGGCCCAGCGCCCAGCAGACACTGGCCTCCAGGTGCGGCGCCAGATTTGAAATGGCCGTGCCGCCGCCGTCGCCTCCGCCGCCACTACCCGCACCGCAACCTTATGAGCAGGGACCGACCGTCCTGGCATTCCTGTGGGCCCACCACGACCTGCTCTCAATACCCCAAAACATGTTCGAAGAACCAAAACAAGGTTCTTATAGCATATAAACGCGATGTGTTAAAACGACACGCTCGGCCAGAAATGGTCCAAGAACGGTTCGTGCCGACCATCAAAGGTTATTAGAGCGTTCTTTGGTAGGCCCGTAGGCGAGCCAAGACGCTTCGCCACTGCTTGAAACCTGTCGTCGCCGCCGCCGCCGTCCTCGCAGCGGCCGCCGTCGCCGCCGCGGGCGGACCCTGCTGCCCGGCAGGCTGCTCTTGCTGCTGCGGCGCGAGCGCGGCGTGTGCTCGGGCAGGCTGTCCGCGTACGCGCTGACGAAGACCTTGACAGCCCGGCAGACCTGAACGCTTTCGGGACGGACGGCCTCCGCCTCCTCCTCCTCCTCCTCCTCCTCCTCCTCCTCCTCCTCTTCCTCCTCCGCCTCCTCTTCCTCCTCCGCCTCTGCCTCATCAACTCCTCCTCCAAATCACTATGCTCCTCCTCATCGCCACCACCAACACCACCACGAGCATCATCATCCTCACCATCACCACCATCATCATCATCATCATCATCATCATCATCATCATCATCATCATCATCATCATCATCATCATCATCATCATCATCATCATCATCATCATCATCATCATCATCATCATCATCATCATCATCATCATCATCATCATCATCATCATCATCATCATCATCATCATCATCATCATCATCATCATCATCATCATCATCATCATCATCATAATCATCATCATCATCATCATCATCATCATCATCATCATCATCATCATCATCATCATCATCATCATCATCATCCGCATCATCATCATCATCATCATCATCATCATCATCATCATCCTCATCCTCATCCTCATCCTCATCCTCATCATCATCCTCATCATCAGCATCAGCAGCATCATCATCATCATCATCATCATCATCAGCAACATCATCATCATCATCCTCACCATCATCATAATCAGCAGCATCATCATCATCATCATCATCATAATAATCATCCTCACCATCATCAGCATCATCAGCATCATCATCATCATCCTCACCATCATCATCATCAGCATCATCATCATCAGCATCATACTGATCATGAGCATCATCAGCAGCAGCATCATCATCATAATCAGCATCATCATCAGCATTATCATCATCGCCAGCAGCATCATCAGCAGCATCATCAGCATTATCAGCATCATAATCCTCAGCAGCATCAGCATCAGCAGCAGAATGATCATCATTATCGACAACAACAGCATCATCACCACCACCATCACCAGCATCCTCACCCTCACCCTCACCATCATCATCATCAGAATCATCAGCTTTTTCTTCATCATCATCATCATCGTCGTCGTCATCACCACCACCACCAGCATCATCATCATCAGCATCATCAGCATCATCATCAGCAGCAACATCATCATCAGCTGCAGCAGTATGATGATGATCATCATCATCACCATCATCAGCAGCATCATCATGTTATGATTCATCACCGTCATCATACTCAGCATCATCTGCATGAACAGCATCATCAGCAGCAGCATCATCAGCATCAACAACCTCATCAGCAGCAGCAGCATCATCATCACCTCCATCAGCGTCATCAGCATCACCAGCATCATCATCAGAAGCATCATCCTCGTCCTCATCATATCATCATCAGAATCGCCATAGTCGGCCACCACCATCATCACTGGTATCATCAACAGCAACCACGTTAAGACTGGTCGCTCTACCTGCTCGCGTGCCATTCAACACGTACATCCCAAACCGTCGATGCCCGCCCTTTTCGTTCTCGATCGTACCCTCTTTGTAGGTCTCCTTCTTCACCCGCCACGTGTAGTTGGCGCAGGCCCCAAAAGAGGGGTGGGAAGGGAGGAGGGAAGAGACAAGGGGGATGGAAAAGGATGGAGCACGAGAAAGTTGCAGGAAGGGGGGTTAGGAACACGAGTGGCAGAAGCAAACGGGGCGGGTCGGGCGTGCAGACCCCTCCGGGCGGGCCAGGCGGGCGGGCCCAGGCGGCCGGCTCGAGCGGGCGGGTCGCTGAAGCGTCATACCTGCACGAGTCGCGAGGAAATCTGGAGCGACGGCGCGATTCCCACGTAAGGCGTGAGGAAGTCCAGAGCGACAGCGTGAGTCCTGAAAGGCGTGGGCACGGCGTCTAAATCCGCCACCCTGCCTTCAGCATGTAGTGGAATGCCCCAAGGCTCATGCCCAAAATTTCCCAGGAGCTCTCGAGAGCTCCTCAGCTCCTGGAGGCTCCGAGGAGTCCCTCGGCCAGCCTAAAACGACCTCCCGAACCCTCGAGAACGTCTCAAGAACCGCCTCAGATGGCCAAAGTGAGCCCCGGAGCGGTCCAAGACAGCTTCAAGACGGCCGATTGTGGCTCCAAGACGGCCCAAGGGGCCCACCAAGACCTTTCAAGAGGGCCCCGAGAGCACCTCAAAACGCAAACATCGCCGCATTGCCTGAGGAAACGGTTTTTCCTACAGGTTCGCCTCTTGGACTTTCATACCTTCCAAAACGGCCCAGGAAGCCCTCAAGATCGCCCCAAGAAGGCCCACAAGAAGGCACCAACACGGTGGCCCGAGAGGCCCCCAAGATCGCTCCAAAACGGCCCAAAAGGCACCCAACGGAGCCCCAAAACGGCCCAAGGACACCCAAGGTCGGCCCAAGAGGCGTCCAACACGGCCCAAGAGGCCCCAAAGACGGCTCCGAGAGGGGGACCCACCCGAGTAGACATTTCAAGCCGTCGGCCCCAGGAGGCCCCCAGAAGGCCCCAAGTGGCCCCCAAGAAGCCGCCAAGACGCCGCCAAGAGCCCCCAAGAGGCCCCCAAACGACCCCCATGAAGCCCTAAGAGGCCCCCAAGAGGTTCCCAAGACGCCCCCAAGAGGCTCCCAAGAGGCCCCCGAAAGCGCTCCGCAGAGACCCCAAGAAGAGTACCTGAGGACGCTGACGCAAAACCCTGGCACAGTGGCGGGATGGGCCGAGGACCACATATATATATATATATATATATATATATATATATATATATATATACATACATACATACATACATACATACATACATGCATGCATGCATGCATACATACATATATACATAAGTACATACATACATACATACATACATACGCACATACATACAGACACACATACATACATACATACATACATACGTACATACATACGTACGTACGTACATACGTACATACATACATACATACATACATACATATATACAGACATGCACACACATACATGCATACAAACATACATACATACATACATATACACACATGCATACGTACATACATACATACAAATACATGCACATGTACATACACATATGCATATACGTAGGCGTAGACATAACATACCTATACGACCACCCTTCGGGTGATAAGCACGTGAAGGGGGAGGGACCAACGTCGCACTCGATCGATCTCACTATCGAACTCACTACCGATCTCACTATCGATCCCAACCGATCGATCTCACAATCGATATGACTATCGATCTCACGATCAAACGCACAATCGTTTTCATTATCGATCGCACATTCGGTCTCACTATCGAATTCACGACAGGTACCCCAACCGATCTCATTATTGATCTCAAATTCGGTCTCACTATCGATCTCACTATCGAACTCACGAACGATCTCCTTATTGATCTCACATTCGGTATCATGATCGATCCCACTATCGAAATCTTAATCGATCTCACGATCGACCTCACATTCGGTCGCACTATCCATCTCACGAACGCACCCACTATCGATCTCACTATCGATCTCACATCCTGTCTCAAAATCGATCTCAATATCGAGATCACAATCGATATCACATTCGGTATCACGACCGAGATCACGATCAAACTCACTATTGATTGCAGTATCGATCTCAATCGATCGATCCCGCAATCAATCTGACGATCAATATCACAAGCAATACACGATCGATCTCACGATTGATCTCACATTCGAACCCAATATCGATCTCACAATCGATTTCACAATCGATATCACAATCGAATTCACATTCGGTTTCACTATAGATCTCACAATCGATCTCACATTCCGTCTCACTATCGATATCACTCTCGATATCAGTATCGATATCTCAATCGACCTCACTATCAATTTCACAATGGATCGCACGATTGATCCCACAACCGATATCACATTCGGCCTCACGATCGATATCACTATCGATATCAATATCGATATCTCAATCGACCTCACTACCAATTTCACAATAGATCGCACGCTTGATCCCACAACCGATATCACATTCGGCCTCATTATCGATATCACTATCGATATCACTATCGATCCCACCATCGCTATCACTATCGATATCACCATCGATATCCCTATCGATCTCAGTATCGATCTCACGATTGATCTCAATATCAATCTCACGACAAGACACCGACAGGACACCGACGGGACACCAGCGGGACACCAGCGGGACACCGGCGGGACACCGGCGCGGCACCGTTTGCCGGAAGGGGGTTTTTTGGTCCGGCCGCGCCTGTGCCACACGGAACACCAGCGGGACACCGGCGGGACACGGGCGCGGCACCGTTTGCCGAAAGGGAGTCGTTTGGTCCGGCCGCGCCTCAGCCACAGGAGACTTTCCCCTCGCCCGCCCGCGCAGCTTCGCTTCGCCCGCACGCACGGCTCGCACGAACACGAAACCGCTCGCACGATCCATGTCACGAACGCACCCACTATCGATCTCACTATCGATCTCACATCCCGTCTCGAAATCGATCTCAATATCGAGATCACAATCGATCTCACATTCGGTAGCACTACCGAGATCACGATCAAACTCACCATCGATTGCAATCTCGATCTCAATCGATCGATCCCACAATCAATCTGACGATCGATCTCGCAATCAATACCACTATCGATCTCATTATTGATTTCACATTCGAACCCAGTCGATCGCACAATCGATATCACAATCGAACTCACATTCGGTCTCATTATCGACCTCACAATCGATCTCACATTCGGTCTCACTATCGATATCACTATCGATACCAGTATCGATATTTCAATCGATCTCACTATCAATCTCACAATAGATCGCACGATTGATTCCACAACCGATATCACATTCGGCCTGACTATCGATATCAATATCGAAATCATTATCGATATCACGATCGATCCCACCATCGATATCACGATCGATCTCACGATCGATATCCGTATCGATTTCAGCATGGATCTCACGATTGATCTCACTATCGATCTCACGGCGGGACACCGACGGGACACCGACGGGACACCAGCGGGACACCAG